GAGTGGGAGAGGGAGAAGCAGGCTTCCCGCTGAGCAGGGAGCCCTATGCGGGGCTCGATCCCAGGACCCTGGGATCATGACCTGAGCCGAAGGCGGACGCTTAACGACTGAGCCACCCAGGCGCCCCAGGTGAGGCTACTTTCTGACTTCCTAAATAAGAACGGTTTTCCATGGGTCTGCCCCCTACTAACCCTTGCAGAACAAAATACTGAAGGTAGATGAAGGAATCCAAGTGGAAAAACAAAACAAGGGGAAATCAAATGCCTATGATATCTACTAATGTTCAATTCAGAAGGGGAGGGGAACAGAACACACAATACCGCCCTGCCCTTTCTGAAACTACAAAGGTAAGGAAACTCTGGAAGCTCCAGCCAATGGTGATCGGGGAGCACTGTGTATGCTATCAGGGAACATAGAGTGAATACATTCTCCTTCTGAGGGCCATGGCATCGTGTTCCTCCATCTCTGAGGGCCCTCTTAACCAGTAAGAGCTGCAGAACTAGCCTCCAGGTGATCTTTTACAACAGAATTGTCAACTCTTAAAACAGCCTGGACTCCAGATCCTTCTGATTTGGTATGTCTTGTAATAACACAAGCTTTTGGCAAGCTTTCTTCCAAAGTTCCCTGAAATGTTTTCAGACAAGTCACTTTGTTCTCTGCTGTTTCATGGTCGGGAGAGGAGGAAAAGCTTTCAATGCAGAGAAATCATTCTGTGTATCCCAAGGCTGGTTGTGGGCTAGCATGTAACACAGTCCTGTTGTCGGGTCTCACCAAGATGTCTTTCTCTGAAAAACAGAGTATTTCCCTCTACTCTAAAAAGGGCGCGGGGGGAGAAAAAGTTCAGAAATAACTGTCCTGTCTCAAAGCCTAAGCCCAAGGGGACAGGGCACTCTACTCTGTACACTGCAATTCTACACAAGATAAAGAGGCTTTCTCTGCTGCTGCATTTGGGACTGCTTCCCCTACATCTGATGGCAGGTTTGACACTCATAATATGTGCGGTTTACTTTCTGCTCGTCCCGCTTTGGTCCCTAAATCAAATCTGAAGCCCTCACTGATAGCAGCAGCATCTCACTTAAAATAATGCAGCTGGAGGGCACTCCAATTTTACAAATATGGGACAGGTTTATTATTGTGTGGGGGGGGGGGACAGGTTTATAACTCGCAGTGACAAGGTTCTTACTCTTCACTTACGTACCTAAGACCCTTCATTGACTTGTATGCAAATGAAATAATCATCCAATTTTTCCTCATCTAAAATGCAGCAACCTGGGGCACCTGGATGGCTCAGTCAGTTAAGTGTCTGCCTTTGACTCAGTCATGATCTCAGGATCCTGGGATTGAGCCCCGCATCGCATCGGGCTCCCTGCTCAGCGGGGAGTCTACTTCTCTAGCCCCAACCCCAAGCTTGTGCTCTCTCTCTCAAATAAATAAAAATCTTAATAAACAGAAAATAAAATGCAGCAACTCTATGGGTCAGTGAGGGAAAGGAGGAGCTTTTACGAGTCGTATGGGTGAAATGTTTGTTTAGCAGTCAGAGACTGAAACGTGCAATTTAATTTCTGGTGTTTACGTATAGGAAGAGCAAGCGTATCGTCACTGGCTTGGCTACTTGTCAGGATACCGACAAGTTCTACATGGTCTGCTCATTTTGGTAATTACCTAACTATTGTTTTGGACAAAGACAACTCAAACTCAAGCTATCTATCTAAGGTCCTTACTACCTTGCGAGCTGCAGGTAGTAGCAATCTGAGACACTGCTTACTTTATGCTAAGTCAGAGAGTAAATACACACACAGATCAATTTCTTTTTTTACCAGAATAAGCTGTCCTTGAAAATCACCATCATCATCATCAATCAGCTCTCACTGAGACACTGTGTGAGCAAGTACTGTGACTCATTCCTAAACTGGTATCTTACCTTAGTGTTCCTCCTTAGGCTGCGAAGAATATTCCTCCTCCTTGGATCTTCGTCTGTTTCATAGGGAATGACGGCATTGTCCCCTTTATAACCTTGAGATGCCTGATCCTCCTCTTTTTTCCGGATGGGCCCCAGCTCATCATCGCTCCCCACACTGAAGCTGGTTCGGTAACTGGCAAACCTCCCTAGCCGGCTGCATCTCGTCCTGTACAGCACTGGCTTGCTCACGATGGAGACCTTGCGGCCTCGCTCCAGAGAGCTGGTGTCCATTTCACTGTCAGAGCCATTGCCACTGCCGTTGGACTGGGCTTTGTTGATATTCCGAATGGTGATGATTTTGCCTTGGGTGCTGTCATGGGGCACTGAGTATATGTTTTCTTCTTCATTCCTTGGCTTGACCACAGCATCCATGGGTTCAGCATAATCAGAAGGATCAAACCCATCCGGAGGTAGCCAGGTGCTAGAAGACACAGACTTCCTCTGTCCATCTCTATGGCCTTGGTCTAAATAAGACAGATCCCCCTTTGTAATATCAAAATGGACAGGAGGCTTTGGTTTGACTGGTGGAGGTACTTTGTTGTTCAGTTTACTTTCAAAATTACTCATGATGAAAGACAGCCCATCATTTCCCTCCAGTTCCATAGAGAGCTTAGAATGGTCTTTGGACAAAGAGGGCAGTGACGTGTCTTCTCGAAACAAGCTGTAAGAAGGGGGCTCAATATCCTCTTCTGAATCCTGCAGGTTTGAGTTGCAGAGTGGAGAGCCCGCTCGGGGGGAGTTAAACACCTCTTCCGTGGTGCTACAGGCCTCGGCAGCATTATCGTACATATGAGTAGCCTCGATTATGTTCTTTTTATCCACCACATCTTTAAAAAATGGGTGGAAGATCTCAAGTTTATGCTGGGGTTGGCTACAGGGGATGCTTGTGAACCTTCCGTCAATTTCTTGAGCAATCTCCTCCCCCTCACTCAGCTGCTCCCGACTTAAGTCATTGTCCAGGACATCTATAGCGCCGTCAGTGAGTGCAACCAGCTGAATGGGGATAATATCCTGCACTTCACAAAGAAAGGCACGTAACATAGCCAAGGAGGCCTTACGTTTGGCTGAATAAAAAACAATGTACCCATGGACCAACCGGCTTTTTCTGATGCTAAATGAGGAGTGGTACGAAAGAATAGACAGTTCAATGCGCTTCTTGTGGAGTCCGATTGGTAGTTCAAGTAAAACAGAGTTGTTGCTTCCACAATGGGAAGACTTACAGGTTTGGGACTGAAGGACAGGAAAGAGTATGTCATCTGCACTGAAAGGATCTCCACACATCAGACACATGACAATTCGCAGGTCAACATCAGCCAGATCTTTGATGCTAGCAGTAGAACTGACCAGGTTTAAGTTACGCTTGGAGTCCAGGAGTCCTTTCAAAACTTGACTGATTTGCTTTTCATTAATGTTGCGTCCATAACCGATGCCAGCAGAAGCAGGGTCGAGAAAGACACACTGCAGTTTGCTGGCAATCTGCTGACCTTGTTGTATTAAGCTATGCAGGGTCTCTCCACTGGTATCTCCTCTCCTGTTAACCAAGATTAACGTCAGGGGGAGATGGACTAAATGATTATCTCGCCTGCCAAGTGTGGACTCTCTACTCTTCTCTATACTCTCCACCACATAGGATAGAGATTCCTTTGAATTGTAAAGGCAGAGACAGCCATGGGGCTGAAATGTTGGCGTTTGAAAAGAGTTCACAGGAAGCCTAACATTCCCTTCTATTGGCCTCAGGGAAAGCTCATACATTTTACCATCTATCACATACTTGTCATCATTTGTACAAAGAGCTCGAATCTCATTGGCCAACTCACGTGCAAGGCCATCTTTGCCCAAGATAACCAAGTTGATCCTATCAATGTTGGGGTCAGAGAGTGAATTTTTCTGATTCCGGTCAGATGGCCGGATAAACCGAGAACTAATCAAGTGCTCAATCTTAGCATCCACACAAGCTGGGCAGCTAGGGCATGTTTCCTTGGTTGGGTGATACACAAAATGAATATGCTTCAGGATAAGGGCATCGCGCTCTGCTTGGAGCTTCTGTAATGCCTTAAATCGCTGTTCCTCCCCCAGAACATCCTGAATGACACCCATCTTCTCCTTGCTGGGCTTAGCATCCAGCTCCAGCTCATAAAACAATTCTGAATATTCCAAAAGCAGCTCCTGAAACTCTTCCTTTGCTTTGTCTATAATTTGCTTTTGGTGTTTGCCGTAAATATCCATGTATACAGATTCTTCCAGCCACTGGTAGAAATCTTCATTCATAATAAAACTACGGGCCTCTTCCCAAGGCTTTCCAGGAGTTATGAAGGGAGAGGTCTCCAGGTTTTCCTTAAATGCCCTTCTCATCTCAGCTCTTTTCCTCTCATTCCGCAGCTTCTCTAAGTGGGCCTCGTACAGCTGCTCGGCAGGGACAGTATCCATCAAGTCAAAGGGAATCCGTTCATTCTCCATGTTGTCAATGTGGCTCGTGGCATCCCACGGTGTCTCTTCAAGCACGACAAACCACTTCAGGAATTCTGGCTTGGTCTCCAAGAGCTTTTTGGTTTTTACGCAGCTTAGGTGGTCTATTTCATCTAGATTGGGTATAAGAGCTTCAAAAGCCAACGGAAGGGCTGCCAGGTACAGCTTTCTCCTGCGCTCAATGTGCTCGTGCTTGAGGCGGTGGATGTGCTGGAGAAACAGCTTCTTGGCTTTCTGAGTCCCTTCCAGGTAGACATAGTCCTGGTACTCAGGAGAGGCCTGCATCTTTCGGCTGACACTCAGCCAGTTCTCGTTATGGTTCTTCACAATACGACTCACCAGCCACTCATACTTGTCTTTTGCCGTAGCTATCTGCTGACTCTGCTGCTTGAGAGCCTCAAAATAAGGAATGATTTTCGTCTTTCCCCGACTTTTATCAATGAGTTGCACTAAGGTGCTGAAAGCCAAGTCCACGTTTACATTGGATCTTGCTGAGGTCTCCACAACCTGGAGGTTCTTTTTGCTTAAGGCAAAAGTATGTGCATCTCTAATGTACCGCTCAACACCCTCATCACACTTAGTCAGGACGACCACTATGGGCTTTTTTGTTTTTGCAAGCTGATTGTAGAGATTGGACACAAACTTGAGCTGGTCATCAAAGTTCCTATTCATGCCCCTGCTAACGTCAATACCAAGAAGAAAACCATCAATCAGCAGCTTTCCATCTGGCATTTGTTTCTGCTCAAAGTCCTGCTCCAGCCCCAGCTGGTCAGTGCAAAAGTACATGAGTTTTTCAGCTGATGCGAGCTTGGTTGCAGCAGCTCTCTTAATATAGGGCTGCAGGGCCGTGCTTCGATGAGGTTGAAAAGTCTGATCATCGATGAACTCAGTCTGTTCCACAATGTGCATCTTACATTCCACACAATCCTCCAGGGAACGGCTAACTTCTCCCCAGTAGAGAAAGTGGTCATTATTGACCACTCGCCCACCAAAGTCACTGGTGCTGAGGACAGAGGTATGGTCCAAGTGAAATTCATCAGCACTCGGGCGCACGAAGCGGTTGCAGAGACAAGACTTCCCAATGCCACACTGGCCCTTCTCCTTCTCGGTCCCAGACAATCCCACCACACTGATGTTGTAGGTGGGAATGCGGACATCTTGCTTTCTTGCCATCATCATCGTCGACACATCCTGCCACAATCAGCCACTTCCAAGATCAGATTAGTGTTTTCCAGTGGACCTGATGGCTTCCCCACATTATCAGTGGGGGCCGGCTGCCCATGCAGCAAGACTGTCAGGTCCCATAGTGTTTGTATACCAGTATGAGGTCAGTTTTCACCACTTTCTCATCGCCAAATAGTAAACATTTCTTCCTAGATGGGGGAGAGAAAAAGAAAACCCATCAGCATTGTAATTTTGGAACCCAATTTTAATCACTGAACTATAGCAAAAACCAATTTTCTTATTCAACAAATACTTAAACATCAAATGTGCCAGGCCTTATGCTGAGAGAAGATAAAAGAGTATGACTGACATCTATGTGCCCTCTGGAGGTACAATACATCTAACGGAGGAAGACATATATGCAAGTGGTGTGCTGAGTGCTAAAATAAGGGTTTGAGGGCTCCTCAGACAAGTGGCTGATTCCAGGGCTAGAGCAGAGTTGGTACAAAATGAGCCTGGAACATACTGTTATGCAGGAAAGGTAAGAAGTGCTAGAAAAAATGATAGGGCACCTCCCAAAGATATAGGAGCCAGCCAGAAGGGCTCCCACTGGACAAATTTGGCACAATTTGAGCAGCAAAATAATTAAATACAGTAATGAATTATAACCTACTGCACAAAACAGGAACTTGAGTTCATACTACTGGATCAGAAAAGAATCCTCACTCGATATTAGTCTAGGGGGTGGATTTTGATGAGAATCAAGATATTTGCACAGAATTGAGGTGTCTCCTGATAATGCTACTTATTAGTTGCAAAGGGAAGAGGAACAAAAAAACCACTAATTATACAAGAGAGAAACTGGGTTAACATTGTGAGTAATGAAACTTATCACCACTAAAGAGGAACGGAAGGATACTGTGGTCCTCCACATACGGTACCCCCAAGAGGATACATTACTATGCAGTATAATGGCCTAAAATGCATTACCTCAAACTGATCACAAGGAAACATCAGATAAACCAAAAATGAGCAAGATTCTATTATGGGGGTGGGGTGGGGAAGTAGTGCACACTCTGTACTTTTCAAAAAATTATCATGGTCATAACAAAGAATGGCTGTGTAAACATTCCAGATCAAAAGAACCTAAAGAGACATCGTTAAGTAAATGCAATTATCTGACCCTAAAATGAATTCTGCACCAGAATGGGAAATACAGGACATTACTAACAATTAATAACACTAGACTATGAACAGAGTATTAGATAAAAGTATTTTATTAATGTAAATTTAGGAACTTGATAACTACCATGTGAATGAATAGCCCTACTCTTACGAAATACACACTGAAGTAATGGGGGGGGCCATAATGTATGTGACTGATCCAGAAAAAAACATGTATATATATTGAGAGAAAGAACGCAAATGAGGTAAAAAGTTAACAACAGGTAAACCTGGACAAGATCTCCTTTGTGCTATTTTAATTTTTGCAACTTTCTATAAATTTGTGATTATTTCCAAATCAAAAACTTTTCTAAAAAAGGTGTGAGTATGGAGTAGTTTCCCTGACAAGAACATAAGCTCTGTGAGGACAAAGCCCACCGCTTCCTTCTTTTCTTCTGTATCTTCAGCCTATGACACAGTGCTTGACACAAATATTAATTGAAGGAATGAGTATCTATGAGAGCATATTAAAGAGTCCCCAAATCCAGCCTTTTGATTGAGGAAAGCCTTTATGGAGGAAGTTCCATCTTAGGAGAAACCTGAAGTAGGGGAAGGAAACATGGAGACTCCTCTCTGCAGAAGAAAGCATGGTCCTTCAAGTGTGCGGGGGCGGGGGAGTGGGTGAGATGTGTTGGCAAGTACGCAGAGATCAGATTAAGCCACTTTCAAAGAGTTTGGATTCTTTCCCAAAGGCCAGGGGAACCACAGAATATGGCTGAAAAGTGGCGCCTTAAAAGACCTAAAGTTTGGGGCGCCTGGGTGGCTCAGTCAGTTAAGTGTCTGCCTTTCGCTCAGGTCATGATCCCAGAGTCCTGGGATCGATCCCTGAGTTGGGCTTCCTGCGTGGTGGGGAGTCTGCTTCTCCCTCTCCCTCTCCCCCTCCCCTGCTCATTCTCTCTCTTGCTCGCTATCTCAAATAAATAAATAAAATTTAAAAAAAATAAAGGACCTAAAGTTTAAAAGGCTGAAGTAATGAAATGTTATGATAATGTCTTACAATGTCTTCAGCAACTTCTTGGTTGACACAAGTAAAATCTGTAGGCTTTGGCTATCTCTCCATACGTGGTCTTCTGGCAACTACTGTTTATACTGCACTGCCAACTACTCACACATGCAAATATGACCATGCGATTGCCGATCCTGTAGCCAAATGAACAGTCTCCTGAGATAACTGAGAATTCAAAATAAAGAACAATTTTCTTTTGAATCTCAGTCATGCCTAGTAGGAACTCAGCATTTCCAAAACCTTAATATGTTTTTGTGAGGCCTGTCTCCTAAGAAACGCCAAAGGAAGTCAGACCCTCACACATTATTCTAAGACGACGGGGAGACGAATGGAAGAAGAAAGTTGTCCCCTATGATGATAACCTCAAAAGGTCACAGACCTTTCCCAAACATCCATATCTTCCTTTGATGACCCAGAAAGCCAAACCCTCTATGGAAACAAAATGTGGCTAGATGTGGTATGTAAAAATTGTTTGACCATTTTCGAGAGAGAGAGACCGAGAGACAGCATGAGAGGGAGGAGGGTCAGAGGGAGAAGCAGCCTCCCTGCTGAGCAGGGAGCCTGATGTAGGACTCGATCCCGGGACTCCAGGATCATGACCTGAGCTGAAGGCAGTCGCTTAACCAACTGAGCCACCCAGGCGCCCCTGTTTGACCATTTTCAAAAGAGAAATCTCAATGATTATAATGGTGTGCTCCTAAGAAGCCAAGTTCCAGACTTCAACAGGGAACAAGCAGGCATCTGTGGGAAAGAAAAAAACAAACCTTCCCCAACCTCCACTTCCCTAGGTGATTGCTTACTTAGGTAAAACTGTAAGATGCTTACACACATCCTTTGAAACACCCAAATAGCAAAGATTTGTACAAAATCAAAGTGTTTTTGCACATTACTTGTAGTACGCATACACAGTTTTGTTTCAGCCCCTGAGGAGACTCAGGTTTAACAGAGCCTCAGATAGGAATGTTGATGGAAGTTAAAGTCAAGGGTGCTCCCACAACAGAGCCCTTCTCTATCAATTCCCCAACCCAGGGTTTGGCAGGACTCAAGGCCACCTACTTGACCAATCTTGAAATACAGCTTGGTGACACGGGTCCCACTTCCAGGGACTGCTGCATGCAGCTGGCAGATTGTCCCACCTCTTCTCTATAAAGTGGGCCGAATAATCTATTTCTTCACAGAAATCTCAGGAAAACAAAACACCAACCTGCTCTTCAAAATCATGAAATAAAGATAGCAGCTCAACTCTGAACTAAGCTAAAATGTATTCTCCACTCAACCCCTTGTTTCCCCAGTTTTGAAAAGTATTTTTCAAAAGATTTCATTTATTTATTTGTGAGAAAGAGAGAGAAAGCGCACAAGCAGTGGGGAGGGCAGAGGGAGAAGCAGACTCCCCGCTGAGCAGGGAGACTGATGTGGGGCTCAATCCCAGGACCCCAGGATCATGACCTGAGCCAAAAGCAGACATTTAACAGACTGAGCCACCCAGGCACCCCCCCCCCACTCAGTTTTTTAATGCACGGTGTTCCGGGTAGCCTATTCAAGTCAAAGTCTCAGCGGTCTAAAGGGTGCTGAAGAGAAGAAAGCAACACTCTCAACTCTCAAGAACAGAGCAACTGATATTTTAAACCCAGAATGCTAACTGACTGAACTAAAAAAACTACCAAAAAAGAGAATTAGCTGGCATGGAAATGGTTAATTTGGGGACACCTGGTAACTTCCCACTTGTTAGAAACCTAATCGGCTCCCTGGTGTAAGTACACTCTTCTTACATGCCTGTCTTTGATGTCTGGATAATGCAGTTTTACTAGTTCCTCAATTGGACTGAATTACACGGTAAACAAAGACTGTTATAAATCTAAAAACGCTGCAAACACTTGATTTAAAGGAAATAACCCTAAGTGCTTGGTCACAAACACGTTCAACTTTTCTAAGAGGTGGATAAAAAAAAAATTAGCTGAGTCACTAAATTTAATGATCTTAAGGCCACAAAGAAAGAGAAAGCAGAAGACAAGGCATGTTCAAGACTTTGTGGTATCTTTAGTTTAAATCTGACAGGAACCGGTGTTCTTAGTGGGCAACCAAGCTATTTAAACAACAAAATCTGAATGTCCATTCTGATAATTTGCCAATATTAATCCTTTCAAAACTGAAGAGTTACAGTGGAGGGAGAAAAGGATTCTTTAAACAGTAACTACTTTTATCTTTGAGCTTTACAGAGCTAGTTTTATTAGAAAAACTAAACCCCAACATTTAGTAGTTTTACACCACAAGTGAACTCCTTCAGAAAAGAAAATACTTCAGGAATATTTTCAGTTCTTTGTTACAAATATATGCTGCACTTACTATAACATAATGCCAACAACTGAGAGCTTTTTCAGAACTTGTTACCAGGCTTCCGGAGTTGTTTATTTGACTTGCTTAACCACCATACCAGCTCCCTGAAGAGTGGCTCAACTGGAAGGTAGGAGGGTGTTTTCTTTTTTAACACCTCTACAAAACCCAGGGCAAGAAGTGGCAACATTCCCAAGATAGTACACATTTCACAGGACACAGAAATGCCACTGTGATCCAGCATTACTATGACTGCTAAAGTTCATACTGTCAACAGCTCTATCAGTGTGTCTCACCCTCCCACCCCACCCCCACGCTCCCAAGAGGAAATGTTTCTGGTTTCTGGGCTCTGTGATCTGGAATGTCCCGTAAGACACAGATCCACCACTATTACCCATAGCCAAAACTACTGTCTCTACCTCTGAGAATAGCCAACAAATTCTGAAAACGCATTTAGTTTCAAACAACCATGGACAGAATACCACCAAACTAGCAATACTATAATATTATATAATAATAAAGTAAGGAAATAATTTCATAGGGAGCCACTAGCAAAAAGGAAGTAAAATACTTGTTACCATAATTTTTCTTAATCCCAAGAGAGGAAGAGAATGGAAATATGCACTGTAACTAACAAAGCAAAGAGCA